AACCTGCTTGAAGGTACAAAACATTGCTGAAATAAAGCATAAATAAATGGAGAAAGACAACGCAGCCCTGTGCACACACTGCAAGACTCAATATTGTTAATACTCAGCTCACAAACTTATCTGCAGCTGCAACCCAAATGGCCAGAACAGCCAGACCTGGACAAGGCTGCAGCAAGCACCAGGAGTTCCTCCGTGGGCTCCCCTTTGGAGGTGGCGCCATCATCTTCCGCCTTCCCAGGGAGGAAGACAGGAAGGGGAGCAGGCTGGCACCAAACCAGCACTCAAACAGGTAGGCTAGCACTGCAACTGGCGGCTTAGCACACTGAATCACAACATTGGCCTGTGTTGCTTCTCTCTTGGTTTTACCTCTTGTTTTTTCAAATATAGAACTTTTTAAAAAATACATGCAAGAGAAAAAGTTCTAGAATAAACGAAAGGAAAGTGTAATGCAAGAGGGCCTCCTATCACCAGACTGAGGGCTTGTTATAAAGCTGTAGTGATGAAGACAGGGCTGTCTTGACAAGAGCATAAACCAATCGCCAGGACAGGATGGAATCTAGAGACAGTTCTTCAGACAAAAGGCCCGAGCGCCAAGGTAGTCACCTACGTAAGGAATCTGTGTGCTACAGTCACGGGAAGACTGATAAAGCTATTTCCTAAGTGAACTAACACACGTCTTACACAAAACACACTGATACACAGAAGTTACAGCTAATATCTTCAACAGAGAGAACATTTTCCCAATCTATTCTGGAGCAACGAAAAATTTCTTAAGCAATACACAAGAAGCTTCAGCACAAATGAAAACCTATTTCATAAAATTGGAGTTCCTAAAATTGTTTAAAATACGTTGATCAAGAGAAATAGTAAAAACATAAAGAGAAAAACTTAACACAAAGACAAAACATTTTTGCAGCCAGTAACTCTTTCCAAAGATTTGTGTCCACACGCTCTCCTATAATTGAGCAATAAGAGGAAAATAATCCTTCAGAATGTGCAAAATCACAAATATTTCCCCAAAAAAACCATAAAACATACAGATGTCATTACTCATGTTCTGTTGTTGAGCAAGATGCAATTATTCGCATAAGAATTTTCATAACTTTACAGGGCAAGCATGATTATTTATTTCTAGCCTTAGAATTTTATTCTCCGCCCTATATCACCAAGTATGAAAACATTCATGCCTCTTGCCTTTGGCATATATTCAGAACATGCTAGGTTTAACCTCAAGTCAGTTTTTCATCCAGGTGCTCTGTATATTTGCTTAAGTGCAAAAAAAAAAATTGCAGAATTTCAAGGAAGTAATTTTATAACTGTTATTAAGAGGTCTTGAAGTGTTCTTACAATTGAGTCAATTACTTGTTTTCTGAGGTTTGTGTGAGATTTACAAACAATTTATGTATCATAAACTCAGCATGTATAAAGAAATCATTAAAAGTAAATTAGTATGAATTTATACAATGAAAGTGCAGGGAGTCCTTTAAAGTATGGATGTCACCTATAATAACGAGATGCAATACATGTTTAAAAATAAAAATATGTCACTTTGGGGAACTATATGAAAGAATAATTATTTCTTAGTCATATTGAAACTGTAAGTTTTACTTTATTTCTTATACTAGGGGACTTCAAATATTCACAGAAAATGCATATTACGGAAAACTTATGGGTGCACAAAAAAAATCCTCATTTTATCTTTCATTTTTCCCAAATGCTTCTAGGTGCCCTCATATTTAATACTTATTTCTAAAAATAAAATAAAAGAAAATATTGCTATGATAACTATGGAACTGCAACCATAGATGTATTCTTGGGTAACTTTTTTTTTTCACACTGAATAACCTTTTGCTTTTCTAATTCATAAATATAAAAGAACTCTCAGATTTTAATTTCAATTAACGAAAAGGCAGCTGGAAGTGTTTAAAGTTTATGTGACTCAGATCTTTGGATTTCATATCAAATGGCAAATTAGGCTTCCAAGTCCTCAATCTGAATAATGCTTTGAACTGTCTTGAAGAGCTTTAAGTTACTTAGAAACAGACTCAACATAAAAGGACCTTCACAATTATAATGGCAGAAAATGGCAGTAGAAATAAATACACATTGCAACATCAGATTACGGTCTGTATCAAATCCAAGCAAGTAATCAGGTCAGCCAGGACCCAGGGAAGACTCAGCAACCAATGAAATGAGTGGAAAACCACTGCTCTGAAGTTTGGCAATTACAGCACAGAGCCTGGCAGTCTTATTTTCCTGTGCTAGTAACTGTTAAATCTCTCTCACAAGGTCACTCCGAATTTCCTGTTCGTTGGATTTCACTTAAATCATAAGCAACAGCAAACACATTGTGATCAATTTCTTCCATGAGAAAATGTTTTTAGCCTTTAATTACTTCAGACATGTCAATTTCTAAGAAAACAACTGGATTCTAAAACACTTGACCTACTAGTTACATTGTATAATTATATAGCAGTTATTATAAACACACGAAAAGCACATTCACCAAGCAGCTACGCTCTTCTGTTTATATAGTCATTTTAAACAGATGTTTGGATTTTCATATAATCTACCTCCTTAGCTATATAATCATATGTAATAGTTTGAAGAAATGTGAAATTGAAGGACTACAGACAAGATAATTTCTTCCAGAATGGAAAAAGAACCTAAAATATTGTACTTCTACATGAATAACAGGACAAGATGTATATAAACGTAGAGAAATACTTGCCACTATTACTTAGACAGTGCAAGATGTTCATAGCTTAAGTAACATTCAATCCCGCTGTTCCAAAGCGGGACTTTCTGTTTTAGAAGAAATCGGAGGTCACTAAAATCTAAGATTCAATCACACACTTGATGCTGGCTCATGTGCAGGCATTGCATCATCCACACCACGTAAGGAGAAAAAACAATTACTACAATTTTAGCATTCCGTTTTTCCTTCATTGGGTCCCACGGACTACATTTCTTCTTTCCTACCAATGAGAAGCTGCGACAGAGAAAGTCTTCACCCGTCTCCCAATCTCTCCAATCTAGACATGCCTCTTCAACTCTAAACATGTATTTCAAATGGCCCATGTGTACATTTCCTTGGATATATTATAGGGATTACGCATGTAAAATACATAAAACAGTGTTCTTTTATAAATGTCTCTTTCTTTTATACATTACTTTTTAAGGTTTATTTATTTCTATTGGAAAGTCAGATCTACAGAAAGGAGAGACAGAGAGAAAGATCTTCCATCTGCTGGTTCACTCCCCAAGTGGCCACAATGGCAGCATTGCCGATCCGAAGCCAGGAGCCAGGAAGGAGCCTGCCCCCAGGTCTCCCATGTGGATGCAGGGTCCCAAGGCTTTGGGCTGTCCTGGACTGCTTTCCCAGGCCACCAGCAGGGAGCTGGATGGGAAGTATAGCAGCCAGGACAGGAACGGGTGCCCATATGAGATCCCAGCATGTGCAAGGCAAGGACTTTAGCCACTAGGCTACCGCACCTAGCCCAACCTACAGTAAATTTCAAAGCACTGTTGGTTTTTTCCCACTTTCCACGTTGACTTCAGGGCAGCTTCCTAAAGCAAAAAATTGCATGCAGGTTCATACATCTCTCGGGTCAGCCTCCTATCAACAGTGAACTTCTGTCCTATTTCCACATCCCCAGGTTCATTCCCAGTAGGCATCCTCCCTAACACCTTCCTTCTGGCACACTGTGTTCTAACTCAGTGGGTGACAACGGGCTGTTTGGCACTTTCAGACCTCCAGGCTCCTGCCCCCATGAAATCTCTGCTAATCGTCCCATTTTATAAACGCTGTCCTGCCTTCTGTCCTCCCTGCTGTTCTCACAAATGTCTTTGTCCCAGGATTTATGATTTCTTGTTTACCTATTGGTCTCCCCTCCACAAAACCAAGTGTTGGGCACCCTGAGGACAGATACTTCTTTTGGTTCCATTTTATCTAGAGGCATGCCATTCATGCATTCGCTAAGAACTAGTGAATTCAAAATTACTTGTGCCTGATGTTAAAGATTTATTTATTTTATTGGCAAGTCAGATATACATAGAAGAGAAGCAGAAAGGAAGGTCCTGATTCACTCCCCAAGTGGCCGCGTCGGCCAGTACTGAACTGATCCGATGCCAGGAGCCAGGAGCATCCTCTGGGTCTCCCACATGGGCACAGGGTCCCAAAGCTTTGGGTCATATTCCACTACTTTCCCAGGCCACAAGCAGGGAGCTAGAGAGGAAGCAGGGCCACCAGGACATAAGCTTGTGCCCATATGGGATCCTGGCCCCTGCAAGGCAAGGACATTTGGCACTAGGCTAGCACTCCAGGCCTAGCTGAGATTAAACAAAATGGAATCTGTGAGCTATTTCAAAAAATTATTCTGCATTTACAGAATTCCAGATAATTGAGGATCATTGTTTTGTACAAAAAGGATACACACACCCAGCCAGATTCTAGGGGAGGGCACACAAACAGATCCAAAGTCTTGAAGGGATACAAGTCATAAAAAGCCAAGGCCATTTCACAGTAACAGTTACCACTGCAACAGACTAGCAAATCAAGTGTTTATTTTTGAAAATAGTACCTGAAAAGAAAAGGAAGTACTTTTCCTGTCTTTCCAACACAAATTTTGTAACTTAGTCCAAAACAGAACAAATTCTCTGGCTTCTTCCATAAATAATCCTGAGGGTGAGGGGGGCAGCTGGAGGGAAACCTACAAAAACTCGTGTCATTTCCATCAATTACAACACGTGAGCTTCACTTGGACCGTAACTTCCTTCTCTCCATCAAAATCTCTCTCTCTTTTTTAATTTTAGTAAAACTAATGGAATTTGAGGACACAGGAGGTTATTCAGTAATTTCTTCTAGATGACACTGCTGTGTTGTTTTTGCTTGTTTGTTTGTTTTCAGAATTCGGTCCCTTTAATCAGGAAGTCCGAGAGGAAAGAATGGCAGGCAGGGGGAGGGCAGGGCGCCGTTTCTTGAGCCCCACTCAGCAACCTCAGTTCTCATCCTCTGGCAGCTGGATCTTGCTGGGATCAAAGCAGGTGGATTCCATGAGAGGGAGCCGCTTGGCCTCTCGGTGTTTTACCAGCCTTTCAGCTTCCCGACGGGCCCATTCCTGCATCCTGTAGTCAGGCAGATAAATCAGAAAGGTGGTGCCAAAGACCAGGACAATGGAGAAGCCAAAGAAAGAGACAGCGCGCATGTTCCAGAGGTCCACAACAGGGTCCCTGTTGTATCCATGGGAGTCTGGGTTCTTCTCATAGAGCTTTTCGTCCTCGGGATCTGGGTCTTCCTGCCAGTGGATGGCAGGTGGTGGAGGCCGCCTTCCCGTCACAGCAGACGGAGCGAGCACAGCCCTGGAGGAGCTGGATTCCCAGCCAGCTCGGACAGCCGGGAGCCCTCGAGCAGCCGCAGCCGCCAAAAAGCAGCGAGCAGACAACCATAACCTTCCGGCCGCCATGACAGCACAGGGCAGGGTCTCAGGGGCGGAACGGAAATGCACCTGTGCGCAGCTGCAGCTGGTCCGAACAGGAGCGTGCTCGTTCTGCCCCACCACACGAAATAGGTTCCGGGTGTAGATTCGTATCGTCAGGAGAGACAGGGGCGCTTCGCGGGGGGCGCCTTCTTCCCATCCCGTTGTCACAGCCTCCTGAGAAATTTCTTACTGATAGGTTGTCACACAGCCTTCATAGGAAGCAAACGGTGACACGTGGGTGGCAATAAAATGTGTAAAATTTTATAAAGTCTTTGCTTTTAAAAAAATGAAAGATTTATGAGAAAACTAATAATTTGCAGATTTGTTTAAAAAATAATGGAAGGGAAAAACGCTGACGGATCGATCACGAGTTGATACCAACGCTGAGAACACACTTGGCATTGCATTACACTCCTATGACTTTTTATATTGAAGCATTTCCATCATCATTACTATTTTCAAAACAAATTGAAAACTTGAAGAAATTGAAAACACCTGCACAAAGTCGAGTGTAGTCCGTCTCCTGACCTCAGCCTATCTTCAGTGTCATCTGATACAATTCTCCATGTCACGTGTAAATTACACAAAACCGTTTTCTAGTTACCCATGGGAACCATGATCTCCCAAACTTCAAAGTGTTTATAAATTTCCATTTTGCCTTTATTATTATTATTATTATTATTTTAGTGATTTCTTTTACTTCTCTGAAAGGCAGAGTTACAGAGAGAGCGCTGAAGAGAGACAGAGAAAGAGCTCTGCTGTCCACTGTTTCACTCCACCGAAAGTGTGCAATAGCCAGGGCTGGGCCAGAGACAAATCCAGGAGCCACGAGATTCTTCTAGATCTCTCCTGTGGGTGCAGAAGCCCAAGCACTTAGACCACATGGTACTGCTTTCTCAGGCGCTTTAACAGGGAGCTGGATAGCAAGTGGAGCAGCCAAGATTCTAGTCAGCTCCCATACAAGACACCAATACCTCAAGCAGCGGCTTTATCAGCTATGACACATCAGCCTGAAATTTCCTTCTTTCAAGAATGCCAAATCCCAGGCTTCTGTTGGCAAAACTCATTAGTCGGTTACTTTTATGTACTTCCAAAGGCAGGTATCAGGTCCCCTACTGTCACTTGCACCTGCCAGCTTTCCCTGCCCCCTTTCGGCTCTCTAAGGTTGATCAGCTTAGAACAGGAACAGTTCTTCCACGTGGATCCTGTGGTTTCTATCTAGAGTAAGCCACCACCATCAGAAAACCTGGAGGTCAGAGCTGTGCGGTGACTCTGTTCCTGACTCTCTCCCTGCCCAGTGGCTTTGGCTTAGCACATAACGCTGCTATCAAGTGGCCCTTTCCCAACAGTTCTTTTTCTGATATAAGTGCTCATTTCCTTGTCTTTGCACCTTCAGAGCAGTAATCATTATTTCATACAAAACTTGTGGAATACAGCCAAGCCACCATTCAATGACTTTTAAGTCTACAGCACACTGTATATAGCATGGCGGCCCCCTGAGATTATCAAGAGCTGAAAACACTCCCAATATTTGTGACAGCATAGTCATCAAATGATACAGCACATTACTCAGTAGTGACAGAATAAAAATACAATATATACAATCATGTATGTATGTGTGTGTGTGTGTATATATGTGCTATATTTTTAATTCTTCTACTTACAGAAAAGTATATACTATAAAACAATTTGCCACACTACTTCAGCAGCAGCCTCTCCTTTTGGTTTTTATGACTCCTGATCTCATCATTTCTAGTGTGTGATTTAATCTTGTGTTAGCTTGCTTGCTGTTGTCCCGGGAATTATGACCTACCTGTGTACACACTGTAGTCTATTACACAACTCAGACCAGATGCGTGTTCCGCACACTGCACAATGTTTGCACAATGACAAAACTATCTCGTGGTAAACTTCTGAGAATTTATCCTGAAATATGGCTGTATTTGTAAAAAAAAGCACCTCCAGTAAACTCTCTTCCAAATACAAGAGTGTCCTGTGTTGATATTAACTATACAGTGATAAACTAAAGTCATCTAGACCAAATATACACGTGTGTGTATAAAACTAAAAGTTAAAGAGATAAAGAACTTCTAAGAGAGTGACAGTCTGTGCAATGTCAGTGATGCAAAAGATGTTCAAAGCTTTGCTTGACATGTCTACCCGGAAGAGACAGCAAAGATAAGAGGAAGCCTGGAGAACCACGGAAACCTCAATGTCACAGGCCAAATAAGGGATTAGATTTTTATCCTTAGAGCAATAGAGAATACCTAACACTGTCCTTGCCTCCCAGACCTAGGTGAGGGAACATAATTGCTCCAACAGACCTTAACAAGCCTTCTCACATGCAATCAGGGCCAGGAGACTCTGTCACATGCACCAGGAAGCCACTCAATAAACACTCACTGGATCAGTGAATACATAATTGAACAAAACACAGCTGGAAAGTCCTAGCTGTTGCTGTGTCCAGTATACAATAGTGTTGTTTTCTATGGCCTCCATGAATTCTCCCTTTGCACATTAATTCTTCTGATCATAATGCTATCTGTATTTTGGTGAATCCTCCCTGCAATTAGCACCAAAAGTATTAGAAATAAAGGTTGCAGATGGGCTCCAACTTGGAAAGTAAGACTTGGCAGCCCAGACTTTTATAGCTCAACAACCATTTTATTCTAGAGAATGGATTTAATAAGAAACACCATCAACTCAGAATGACAAAGATTCTTGCCATAATCCTGATGGATCATCCCGTTACCTCACTAATACAAAGTGGCTGAAGAAGAATCATTTTGACTTCATAATGTGAATAAACAGAGACATACTCTGACTTGTTTTAAACCAGGTCTATAAACTCCCACATTCACGTGAAAGGTATAGCATAAAATGCCAGCCAAGTTTTACAGATAGAAACTATTTTGATTTGCATTAGAAACTGATCTTGGAGTCTCATTTCCAAGATAACTTTAAGTGCATTCTTTTTAAATGCAAGTAAGCAAAGTTTACACAGGAGTTTATCTCAACATTGTGACAACTGAATATTAATTCATTAATGTCACAGTCGTGATGTGGTTTTATGTTTGTGCTAACAACCAGATTCCTTTTTACACAAGAATTCAAGTCCTCAGTGAGTTACAAAAGAATCAAAGTTATGGCTTCTGTATCAATGCTAGAGTATTTCGGTGACAAAATGTTTTCTAACTAGCTTGGAAACTTTTCATCCCGGCACAAAATTAATCAGAAAATTAACAAACAGCACTCATGTATTTCTGAAGTTCAAACAAATGTTAATCAACTCTCTTGGTGACACAAAGAATGTCACCAAAGAATGTCACGTTCTTATTTTCTCTAGCCAACTCTCTTATATAACACTTGGAAGTTGACAGAGCATGAATGTCCCGTGAAGCAAATACGTTTTAAATGTGGCTAAAAGACACTCCATTGCAAGGAGAGACTTGTGTCGCTCACCAAAGAGGCCATAGTGAATCCAATGACTTCAATATAGCCATCGTCGTGACGCTGAGGTTCGAAGTCATGGTGATCCCCTGGGTTTCCCCAGGGCATTGTGCCTGCACAATATCTGCAAGGTAAGATCAAAACCAGAATTAAACAGATTCCACAATTCTCGTGATTAGCTTTAGGGATTCATTTATAGTGAGCATCATTGATTCCTTAGCATAAGAACAGTTTTCTTGGTAAATATCTTTCAACAGAAAAGAACACGCAAGAACTTCCTGTGAAAAATGGCTCATAATTATCGAACAAATGCAACTTTTATATATCTCAGCCTGAATTCCCCTACAACATTTTTTTCACTCAGTGATTCACATATAAGTGTTTTCAATGATATATCACAAATTATCTCTTGGAGGCGATGTCCATTGTCAGTGGAAAAAAGGTGATTGGGCTGCACAGACTCTGTCACTTACATACAAAACAAAGAGAAGTACCTGCAGCGGAACATAAAAGAATTAAAGAGAGGATTAAAGAAAGGATAAACGAGAAAAGGGTACGAGACTCAAAGAGACGGGGTACAAAGAAAACAGATCCACAAGGGGGACCAGGTAGAGAAGGAAACGAAAGACAGATAAGGAAGGAGAAGAGAAAAAGTAAAAAATAAACCAACAGTTATTTCATGCCTGTAATTAGAACTAGTATGAAGTCACTTCTCAGATGGAGTTGTAAGGGACCACACTCAGCCACACTGACATGCAACTCTCATAGTGTGTCTGAGCTGTTTGGTAGGCTGACAAAAAAGGGTTATAGACCCACTGGTTCCAAAGCGTTGGCTTGGAAGCTTAGATTCATTTTATGTCACTGATATAATATGCTTTTTTGAGAGTAGTTAATCCGACGTGCTGCTTTCTCCTGAGGAACATAATTGCACCAAAGAGAGTTGACATCCTTGCTGGAAAAAAAAAATGCTTCCCTAACTGATCCTTTTGGTTTTTTTTTTTTTCAAAGCAATCATCTGGTAATGATTTTGAATGAATTCCATGTTCAGATCAGCCTGGATGATTTCCTAACAGCTTTTGGGAAATGAAGAGCAGGGATTTATTCAAGCTTATCATTCTTGGAGGCAAGCATGAAGGAAAAAAAACATGAGTGAGAATTAAAGAAAAATGTCCCATAAAGAGTGGTGTCTCAGTTTGTTAAGGATGGAAAAGTGTAGACCCGTGTGCCCTGGCACACACAAGGCCAACTAACACAGCGCTTATCTTATAAATAAGTCATGTAGAAGAAAAATTAAATTTGGAAATCTCTAATCAGCATTAAGATAAATGATTGACTGTCATAAGATGATTTACACCTGAAATGCTTCTATTAGGAAAAGATACAACCGCAAGTCAAGAGTTCACCTTCAACCAAAAATCTAATATGAATAGAGCTTACCTGGGTATATTTAAAAATACTATACACTGGAACTTCAGTTCCTGAATCTTTGGGGTGAGATCAGTTCCATCACACTGCAACAATCAAAGCAGAACAAA